TTCATTTTTAGAATAAAGCAACTTTATTTTTAATTCCCAGAAAACGTTCAGCAAGAAAAACAAAGGAGAAAGAGAAAATTTGATAAATGGCAAATTTTCTCTATCACTTAACAATCATGGTTCAGTTGTGCTTTTCAAGGTGGTCTTCACTCTGCTATCCTTCGATTACCTTTGTGTCATTTACAGTTTTACTAAATGGAAAGAAATTCATTCATATAATAATTTTAACATACAGCCTACCCGAGGACAGAGTCAAAAACAGGATCAGAGCTCTGAACAGTTTCATTTTGGAAGAAAGAGAGAAACACACGATGTAAGAGGATGACTGCACACAGACACTTGGCTCATTTCTCAGTATCTCAAAAGGTTTTATCAGGAAAGTTTTCATTTCCTCATACACCTCACACCTGGAAGATGGTGAAGGGTTTCATGGCCAAATAAGATGATAAACTGCTATAAACATTTACAAGTACGCAAAGTGTGCATTTACAGTCATACTGAGGAGGTGATGCATTCACCAGCTACTTCAGTAAGTATATCTGAGCAGTACTTGGTTAGGCACGCTTTCAGAATTGCCTTAATTCTCTATTACATAAATTCAACAAGGTTCTGCAAACATTCCTTTGAGACTTCCGTCTATGTTAGCATTACACAGCTGTGGAAGATTTGTCAGCTTCACATTATGCTGCAAAGCTGACAGACCCAGCGTGCTCTTCTGCTGCTGTAGCCCATCTGCTTTGTGCATTGAAAGATGCCCTTCTGCACACATTAGTTGTAACAGTTGGTTTTTCGACTTGCTGTTGTTCCTATCAGCCTAAAGCAGTCAGTCTGGCTATTCTCCTCTGACCTCAACAAGGTGTTTAAAGTCACTTAAATAATCTTTTTTTTTCTCCACTCTGATGTTGGATTTGAGCTTCAGCAGGTGTTTTTGACCATGTTTACACGCCTTAATGTATCGAGGTGCTGCCATGTGATTTTAAGGAGCAGCTGAAGAGGAGTGCCTAATTATGTGGTTTATTCAAATTTTTAATAAACTAAACACAATTAAACTATTTGACAGAATACACAAGACATTTAAGAATAAGCAGTCTCCTCTAAATCATGTCCAGAACTGGTATTTATATTAGCCCCATAAATGTGTGGTGCACTTAATGAGCTATAGCCAGAAATACCAAACTGCAAACAGGTTCAGAATCAGCACAGTTCAATTTGCTTTTAATGTTTTGATTGAATGGCTGCTTTTTCACTCCAAAGTAGGACCAGAACCAGCAAGGTAAATGCAAGTCTTAGCTGCTGAGCTTCAGTGGTGGGCTAATATCCACAATCATGCTTTATCTTTATCACTGTGGATACCATAATATATACTTTAAACAGAATTATTAGATTGAGCCTTGTTGTAACTGCGCTGATTTAATGGCAGTTCATTGTCAGACTTTAAGATTTAATTGTATTTGTAGCATAAAAGCACATCAGAATAGCATTCAGCTGAAGAGGCATTTTTGGATGGACTTGGACTCGCAAGGCTTGCACTCAACTGCAAAGCTGATTCACTAACACTGACATTGAAGCCATGCCAGTTGAAGACTCCTTTGAATCGTTTTCTCTGTAGCCCATGTGTTTTGTTGTTGCAGAAAAAGACAGCCTGAGGGCGCTAAAGGACAAACTGAGAAGAACATTAAATGAAGCCCAAGGCAAAATAAGAGAGAAACTGCAGACAGTCTTTAAGAGAAATCTGAAAGACAAATTTAGATGCATTGACTGCCCACATAAGTACCTCGTGGCAAAGTGTGTGCCTAGTGAAGAGGCCTTCCTCTATAAAGACTTTGATGAAGCACAGTGCACATATTCCACATGTATTACTTTTGTTTTTGCAAATGTGTTTGGCAGTAGGTGTAAATAGCCCAACCAGAGGTTAAATCACCGGGACTTTCCATCAGCTTTTAGAACAGAAAAAGCCTTATGAATGAGAGGTAAAGGGTCATTTTAAGCACCTATGTCAGAAGGACTCATCCAGGCTGGAAAAACTGATCAGGAAGGCTGGCTCTGTGGTCGGCACGAAGCTGGACACTCTGGTGACAGTGGCAGAGAAAAGGACGCTAAAAAATTGCTGGACATTATGGACAATGCTGGGCATCCTTTGCACACGGCCATAAACAACCAGAGGAGTCTGTTCAGTGACAGGTTGCTTCTCCCAAAGACAAGAACCAACAGACTTAAAAACTCCTTTGTGCCACACGCCATCAGACTGTTTAACTGTTCTCTCTGGAGGGGAAAGGGAGGGGAAACAGGAGGACAAAGGAGGGGGAGACAACTAAGCTGTAGTGCCTCTTCTCTTCACTTCACTGTGCAATACTTTTTGTTAATAGCCATCGGTGCAATAGACTTCAATACTTGAAATGTGCAATTCCCTTGTATTCTTATTCCTATTTATTCTATTTATCCCCTTTGTATATTTTATTTATATATGTCTCTGTATTTATATATGTGTGTATATATAGTATTCTGCTCACATTCTGTAACTTCTGTCGGTGCTGTGCTATGAAACTGAATTTCCCAGAGGAGCCCACCCGAGGGATTAATAACGTTTTATCTAATCTAATCTAATCTAATCTAATCTAATCTAATCTAATTTTTCTTTAAGAAAAAAATTGGAATCTAAACGTGAAAGTCTTATCTCCGATCTTTGTTTTTTGATCGTTAGTAATGACCACTGTGTTCAGGTTTTTTTTGCTGATTTTGAAATATAGGCTTTATAAAAATCTTTTTTTACACCTCGCGGGAAAAATAAGATAGATGGAAAAGTTGAGTTTGCCTTCTGAATTTAATACAAACCATGATCATTTTCTAAAACTGACCAAACAGCAACAGTGAAGACAACGGACGTCTAAAAATACCAGTAGGCATCAAACTTGTTCTTCCTTCTGAGCAGTCATGAGATCAGTGATACAATACTGATGGTCTGTGTTGAAACTTCCTTTAGGTTTGTCTCATCACCCCCGTCCCCCGTCCCCTTCCGGCTGCCTCTGCCTCAATTTTATCCCACAACTTAGACATTCACATTACTCACACTCTCATTACACATACATATAGGATCTTGGGGGTGGGCAC